ACACACACACACACACACACACACACACACACACACACACACACACAGTTTTGTTCCTTTAGAAAGCCCTCACAAATAGATCACCACATGTGTCATGAGAAAGCTTGGTCACAATGTTGTCCCACTAGCCAGAAATGAGGTCTCACTCTGCATTTCAGCAAATGTTCTGCCTGCATGTGGCTGGTCTCTTGCCTCTATTTGAGAACACACTGCTGTATCATCTCCTTGTAGTCCTGAAGGACCTGCCACATCCATTTGGTTCCTGGGTGGGTTCCGGTACCTGGCATGGCCCCTGAGACATGTACTTATGACACAGAACACATGACCAGTGCTCCCATTCCAGTTCTGCCAGTGTTGGGGCAGGAATGACAGATAGGTGGCTGTAGATTGACCTCTTCCTGCTCCCTAAAGCACAGTGCTGGGCCAACATACGGCTGTTCTGGTCTCCTGCCAAATGCTTGCTCTTCAGACCCTTTGTATCTTCTAAACAGGCTTCCTGGAAGGTGGGAGGTCTTCTGAGCCACCAGGTGGGTTTTCTCACCTTTCCACAGCTGAGTTTTGAGTGTGTGCTAAGCTGGACTGGGTCTAAATGCAGAGGCATGTTGTGAAGGGCCCTTCTCAGGGTGGGAGAAGCTTCCAGATGTTAGATGTTTGCTGGATGTTACCTGAACAAATAGGAAAAAAAGCAAGTCAAAATTTTAAAAAAACACACAACTCTTCCGTTAAGGAATTTTTGGGTTTTTGTGACAGCCTTGTATGAAAATAATTCACTCACCAATAAACTGAACCAGAGGCCTCAAGGTAGCCATTGGCAGCCTTCAGGAAGTTAATGCATTCCAGTTGACACGGCTATGAAGCTGGGGCTGCCTCAGGAACAGGAGAGACCTCTGCAGTAGCAGTCCACAGCGGCACCATCTATAATAGTGGGAGTGTGGATGTAGCCCTGGAGACATCAGGGCCTGATTGAATGCACACCAGCCCAACCTTGTCTGGGCTCTGCTTTTCAGTAAAGGTAAGCGGGGGTGTCTCCAAAAAGAGTCTGGTAAGGTCTTGGGCTGGAGGTTAGGAAGCCAGGTGGAGAAGAGGGTTTGGAGCCATCTGCCTAACATCAGGAACACGCACCCCGATGTCCACCCCTGGGCCACGAAACTTAATACCTCTTCCCTTCAGACACAAGAGAGTAAAGTCCCTCTAGACAGACTTCTTTACATTTGATTTGTTTAGATTTGTCTAGAAAGCATGCAAGCATTCTATGTCATTCTAAAACTGAGTTAAATAGAAGTGGTGGTTCCTATAAATCGATGCAAAGTTCAACACTGCAAGAACAGGCAATTTCAAGTAACTTTGGTTCTTGTTGTTTGGTTGGTTTTGAGACAAGTTCTCACTCTGTAGCCCAAGCTGGCTTCAAATTCGCCATTCTCCTGCCCCCGCTTGCCAAGGGCTGAAACTACAGGTGTGCGTCTGACAAGGCAATTGGCTGACTGCATAGTAATGGGTTATGTCCTAAGGACAGAAAATTACCTAAAAATCATAGACCATATGAAGAAGTTGAACCCCTCACAAAAACACTTGTAGGATGGAAGTAACCTCAGGCATGTGGAAAACAGTTAGCTGCCAGATGACCTGCAAGTTCTACTCTTAGAGTCCCAAAACACCTGTCCACACAAAACTGGAAAAAGAATTCCACAGCAACGTTAGCGACCACGAAACACCCTACACAGCTATCAGCTGTGAAGGGAGAGACATGGCAGGGCTCTCCGCACAGTGAGGTGACACAGGGGAGAGACATGGCAGGCCCCTCCACACAGTGAGGAGACACAGGGGAGAGACATGGCAGGGCCACTCTGCAGTGAGGTGACACAGCTGGAGGAGGGCACCAAGTGCCACTCCAGCTGCAGTGTCGATGACCCTTGGAAATACTGCTCAGGAAAAGACATGGAAGGGCCTGCATGGTATGACTTATTCTCAATGTCCGCAGTCAGAAGATCATAGATGCCAAAAGCAGATCCGAGGTTACCAGTGGCTAGAGAGTAGGCAGGTTAGGAGCTTCTGCCACAGTGGCTTTTAGAGTCCAGTCCCACAGTGTGTAGAAGAGCAAAGAGCCATGTGGGGAGCGGGAGAGCCTTCAGATTTAGGACAGATACAAGATCCTGACCAGCTCTTTCCCCACATGCTTCCAGGGAATGTGGTGACCATCTGCTGCACAGGAAGGGATGAGAGATAGGAAGGAGCATCTGCCCATGGCCCAGAAGCTTCTGCCCTCTGGCACAAGAGTACCCTCCTCCTACATCTGTGCCCTACTTTGTCCTTTGCCTTGTCTCAACCTGTACACACCCATCTGTGTTGGATTCCAGGACCTCTAAGTGGAGACCCTCTCCTACCCTCCCTCCCTTGTCCAGGTAGGTCTCTATAAGGCAGGGTTCTAAAGACATCACAACAATGTATGAACCACTTAGGCTGGGCTGGCTTCTTTGCCCCTCCTCCTACCTCCAACATTAAAAACAAAATAAACCATACAGTTAACAGTGATGCATATCAAAAGCTGCTATGGACAGAACAATCGGGTGAGAGGCAAAGACAGAGGCCTCAGTTCTAAAGGAACATGTTACTCTAAACCCCACCCTGATATCACCAGACCACAGCAGGGAGGGGTCTTCTAAGGAGGGAAGAGTCACAAGGAACAGAGAGAGAGTACAGAGTTGAGGAAGGCCAGGGGTCTTGGGATACTGCCCAAGAATTTGCCCAAGGGTAGCCTCAAGAGTTCAGCACGGCTTTGTCCACAGTCAGGGTTTCTGGGAATCTCTTTCCAGCTGTGTAAGCCCAGTAGGTATGGCGGTGAAGAAAGGTCAGCAGGCTGTATGCCTAGTTCCCACCTACACCCATTAACCATGGCTACACCAGGGTTAGAATAAGCTACCAAGATGAAAGGGGGTGACCCTGTGCCAAATTACCTGAAAGATAACCCTGGAAATCACTGGTAAGGTGTTTAACTTAGTGTGAGATGGGTACCTCCAGGGGCCGGTCCATACATCCTTTCAACATCAACCACATACCTGCCCTGGGACCAGAACCTGTTGATGGCCAAGAAAGCATCTCAGTGCTTTGAGAATTGGCCAGGACATGTTCTGAATGCAAGAAGAGATTAAGTCTGGTCCCTAGGACAGAATCAGTGCTTACCTGGTGTCCGACAGGAGTTGGGGTTCTGTCTGGGCCATGTCTTCTCTTGCACTGTCACCCAAGGCCACAGAGGGCTTCTCAGGGTCCTGATTTCTGGTCTCTGACTCAGACGGGCCTTTGACCTCACCCTCTCCTTGCAACCTGCTTGCTGTGTCCACCTGAGGCCCTGAGGTATGTGCCAGGCACTTGTTGGAAGCAGGGGCTTTGGGCTCCTGCCCACTGGAGGCATCTTCTGCAGGCAGGGTGACATCAGGGGAAGGCCAGACCTCATCTAGTCTCTCAGGCTCTTTGTCCCCAGCCTTGGCTAGGCTTACAGAAGGGTTAGAGGCACTAATGATGCTCCCTGGACCACATTTCTCCCGCAGGTGCTCCACTGCATCCTCCCTGCTGTCCCCACAGCTCCCACAGCACACACAGGAGTGGAGGAGGCAGTTGGTGGCTGCAGTGCCGAGTTTGTGTGAACTGTCTGCTGTCCCCTCTGCCCTGGGCTCCAATGGGGTAATACCGTGGCCTGTGGCTTCTTGAGATGCCACGGCTGAGTCCAAGGAGGTGGGAGACTTGGGATTGAAGATGACTGTGGCCGAGAGTTTCATGCCCCCGGTCCGATGTGCAATCATCTCGGCGGTCTCAGCGTCATCTGCGCTCACCTCCCAGCCGTCCAGGTACAGCTGTGAGTCCAGGCAGCTGCAGGAAGTGGAGCCCACAAGGTTGGCCAGCTTTATTTTGTCGTCCTCGATGTTGTTGTTGCTCCGGTCTTCCTCCTCTACCAAGGAAGGTGCACCCACCCCCACCTCTCCACTCTGGCTATCCTGTCCTCTCTGCTGAACATTGCCCTCCACGTCACCTGTCAACTCTAATGTACCCCCTGGGGATTCCGACCTGGCAGGAGACTCTGTCACCTCCACATCATCCATGAAGAATACCCTTTCCTCCTCATCACTACCTGATTTCAGCCGGGCTCTGGCTGGAGAGGCTTCCCCTCGGGGGCTGGCCTCTGTGCCTGGCCTATGTGCTGGGGACTGGCAGGCACTGGGCGGTGAAAGCAGAGATGACATCTCATCTCCAGCTCTGTGGACCATGCGGCTAAGCTCCTCCAACTCCTGATCATCATACTGCATTGAGCAGGCCAGTTCTTCCTCTGGGTTGCTGGCACCGGCTGAAAGTGGCTCCTCAGGGGGAAGGGAGGCAGAAAAAGTTGGTGCCAGGGCACTGGGTGCCTGGGCATCTGCCCGGATGGGGAGCTCTACATCCTGAGAAACACAGAGGCTCCGCTCCAGTGTGTGCAGCTCTTCCTCAGTCAGTGCCTGCAGCAGATCCCTGCAGGGTCAAGACAGAAACCAGGCTGAGGGTCTCAAATGTCACAACCACAGAGGCGATCCCCCAAAGCTGACACCCACACTGAAGAGTCGGGCAGCAAGCACTTGTGCTTGGCACGCACTGTGCCCTCCACTTCAAAAGGAAGTTCTCTTCTACATCATAGAGGTGGAAGTGCAAGTAGCTATTATTATATTTGTAAATTATATTTTTAAATGAGATTCTGGAACCTCTCACTGGAAATGCTAAAGCCCTCACTGGCCAGAAATACAGCTCAGTGGTGAGCATTTGTCTACCATGCATGAGACCTTGGTCATAGGAATATTGTGACTATATTAATAAAAGCTTTTTGTTTTTTGGATTTTTGTTTGTTTTTTGTTTGTTTGTTTTTTGAGACAGGGTTTCTCGGTGTAGCTTTGAAGTCTGTCCTGGAACTTGCTCTGTAGACCAGACTGGCCTCAAACTCAGAGATCCACCTGCCTCTGCCTCTGCCTCTGCCTCCTGAGTGCTGGGATTAAAGGCATGTGCCACCACTACCCAGCCAATACAAGCTTTTTTAAAAATTTACTTCTATTTTATGTATATGGGTGTTTTGCCTTCATGTATATCTGTGTATCATGTGCAACTGGTTCCGATGGAAGCCAGAGAGGGCATCAAATCCCCTGGAAATGAAGTTTCAAGTGGTTGTGAGCCACCATGTGGGTGCTGGGAACCAAACCCTGGTCCTGTGGAAGGGCAGTCAGTGCTCTTAGCTATGAGGAACAATCTCTTCAGCACCAATAAAAACTTTAGAGCAGGTGTTCTCAACCTTCCTAATGCTGTGACCCTTTAATACAGTTCCTCATGTTGTGGTGACCCCCCAACCATAAAATTATTTCGTTGTTACTTCATAACTATGATTTTGCTACTGTTATAAATGGTAATGTAAATATCTGATGTGCAGGATAGCTCACATGAGACCCTCAAAGGGGTCTCAACCCACACGTTGAGAACCTCTGCTTTAAAGAATACCATCAACCTAGGAACACTCATCTTAAAAAAAAAAAAAAACCAAACCACACAACTATTACAAAGGACCGGCCATATGCCTGCCAGGCTCTGAACACCAATGGTTTTGCAGGAAGAAAAAGCATGGCCTAGTCTTTCTAGGGTTCTCTCCTAACCGGCTGAGGCCGGTTTAAGCATCTGTACAAACAACATGCAGTCGACAGTAATGACAATGGCTAGGAAGGGAATACAAGCCAGGGAGAGAGTAGCAGTGTCCCTGGCTGAGTTTGGAATGCTTTCCTCAAGAAAGGGACACTAAAGCTGAGACTTGGACATGCAGCCTGGTTTTGTGACAGTGGCTAGGATGAGTCTAAGGCAGGGCCGACAGATACACGCAGCAATGTGTCTCCCAGATGATCTAAACCCTGTCAAACTGACAATGAAGATCAACAACAGCTGGTGAGCCGCTGGACACAACAGGTCTGTGGCCTCGCTGGCAGCTCTGCCCTGGGTCCTCACCAACATGTCCTCTCTGGTCCATGTGTAATGGAACCTTACTTAGACTAATGGAATGAAGGTGGGCTCCAATGTGCATTCTTATCAGTGCTTACATATCCTACGTGTGATGCCTACTCAAAACGTACACTCATTTTTCTTTTTGATTGATTTTCTTTGTATGTTTTGGAGTTAAATTTTTAATATATCTATTCTCCAGTTCTTCAGCCCAAATTTCATTCATTTGCAGATTTCTATTGGTAAATGACATTTTTAAATGTAATAAAGTCTAATGCATCCTATTTTTAGTGGTGCTGAGAATTGAACCCAGGGCCTCACACACACTAGGTAAATGCTCAACCCTGTATCACCAACCACACATTCTTTTACAGTTAGCCCTTCTGTGTCCTGGTTAGGAAATGGCTGTCTATTGGACTGTTACAATGATCTTGACTGTTGTTCTCCAAAAGCTCAATAGTTTCTCTTTTTACATTTATACCTCTATACTACCTGGAAATGATTTCGTATGTGACTGCAGTAGCAAGAGATATGCATTAAGTGAGACTGTTGTGGAATATTAATTTAAGATGTGTTACATTTGTTTATGGTGTAGAGCATTTGTTCAATGATGCAAAGCTGTGTTACTCTGCCTGCCTAAAACACCTTATTGGTCTAATAAAGAGCTGAACAGCCAATAGCTAGGCAGGAGAGGGATAGATGAGGCTGACAGGCAGAGAGAATAAATAGAAGGAAAAAAATGAGAAGATGGAGAGATGAGAAAAGGAAGAGGGAGGACACCAGGGGCCAGTCACCCAATGACACAGCAAACCATGGAGTAAAAAGGAAAGAACGGTACACAGAAATAGGGAAAGATAAAAGCCCAGAGACAAAAGGTAGATGGGATAACTTAAGAAAAGCTGATTAGAAACAAGCCAAGCTAAGGCCAGGCATTCATAAGAAAGAATAAGTCTCCTTGTGTTGTAGGGAGAGGTCCCAGTGTCCTTGTGCTTATTTGAGAGCTGGGTTGGAGGTCCCCAAAGAGCAAAGAAAACAACAACAACGTGAGACTTTTTCTCATATGAATACCTATTACCTCAGTCCATTTACTAGAGAAAAAAAAACTCCCCACTGTTCTGCAGTGCCTCGTGGCCATAAGTTGGGGAGCTGCACATTGATCCATATGATCTATTCTGTTCACATTTTATTTGTGTGAGGCTTATAAATACTGGATTAAGTCCTCTTAATACATACGGTATTTCTTCTGTCAACTGATTGCTTTGTAAAATTTGTTACTTTAATTCAACTTGTCAAATTCATTGACAGACTTGTTCATGGTATCTATGACGTTTGTAGTGATGTCTCCTATCCATTATTTTTCTTTCTTGCTTTCTTCTTTAATTTTGCATTGGCTGGACTTGAACCCAAATACTGGAGTTATAGGTGTGTGACACCATGCCCAGTTTTTTGCCTATTTGTTTGTTTTGGTGTGTAGAAGGATCTGTCGTACACTACCTTTAAAGCAACAGTTTATCCCCCCCCAACGTTTATAAGATTGTCTTTGTTGTTGGCAATTTTACTGTGGCATGCCCAGGAATGTTTTATGTTCCTCTCGCTTGTGATGTGAGCAACCTGAGTATATGGGTAATCTTCCCATTAGTTTTGGAAAATCCTAGGTCATTTTCTTTGGATATTGCTTCTGCTCATTCTCCCTTTTCCCTCTCTGGGATCAACGGCGTGTGATAGTCATTCAAGTGTGTTGCACGAGTCTGCCACTGATGGTTCTGTCTGCTCGCCTCCTCACTTTCTGTCTATGTGCTTCAATGTGTGCTCCTTCTGCTGGTCTACCCTCAGGTTCAATGTCCTGCTGGGTCCGATCTGCTGACCCACCCATTGCTTTTATTTTCAGTCAGTGAACATTTTAGCTCTTGAATATCATTTTAATAGATCCAAGATCTGTATGTTCTCCTTCCTCTTCTCCAATCCACTCTCTATTGTATGTTCTGCAGTACAGTAATTCATTATATATAACTCTAGCTTATGAGTCACATGCTCTGCTCTTGACCACTGATCACATTTTCTTGCCTCCACAGGTTTGAACTGCATGATGGACATCAGACCTAAACTGCTCTAACAGTGGCAAGTGATGCTGTCTTAGGCAATTAGGGTCCATTATCACGCTGGCTCAGACATCCAACAGGTTTATTGCTACTCTGAGGCTGGTGGGCCTCCATCTTCCCATACTCTGGAGTCTGTAGAGACTGAGTTCTGCCCTTCTGAGTCCCAGCTCAGCCTCCAATTTCCCAACCCTCCAATCCACGAACCTTCAACATTTGGCAAAAGTCTCCAGGGTAGGTTGGCAGTGAGCCTGAGGCATACATCTGTCTCCCAAGAGTGCAGGACTGTTCCTAAGGGGTTTTGTACCTGGGCTCCTCCTGCACTTGAACCCAGCACCTAGCTGCCTGGCTGCCCCCAGTGCTGATGTGTTCTACCAGCCCACTGCACCTGGGTTCTGGCCTCCAACCTGACCCTTGGGCAAAGAAACATTTGCCTGGAATTGTCAAATGCTTCCTGGGAAGAAGAGGCAGGTATCTCTGTGTCTAGTTCTCTCCTAAGCCCACAGAGCTTCCTCTCATTACCCTAGCGCCTGCCCCATCCTTCCTACGAAAACCCCCTCTGCCAAAGCATGGTTGTGCTTTCCTCCCTGGCCTCAGCACTGTCTGTGATTTCTTCTCATGTACTGTCATCCCTTGTCTTGGAACCAAGAAAGGTAGATCCTCAGCCTTTAAGTCTAAGGTTTGTATTCCATTCAGAGGGAGAGGAAAAGAGTAAGAGCCATCTACAGGATAAAGTGAACTGTGAAATAGACTGAGTACCCTGCTCCCAGTCCCAAGTTGTCAAGGCTGCCCACAGGAAAAGCCCATAGGGGTCTCTTCTTGCAGTGTCTGTTCTGGTATAGTTCTGTGTTCCATGCACCCTCAAAGAAATTCTGGCCTCACTGGCTGTGTCCGAAGCCACTCCGTGCTGTGCCTGAGGCCACCCTGCACTGAGCAGGGTCTAAGGAAGCTCTGGATATTCTGACAGACCCATGGATGGTGCTACAAAGATCCATCCAGCACAATCAGCCTCACTGTCTAGAGCCAAAGGAAGAAACACCAGGAAGGCACTCAGGAGCTAGGAGGCCGTGGCCTCTACATTGCTTCCAGCCCATCATGAGGCCATCCCTAGGGTATGAACAACCCACCCCACCAAGCCACTGGGCAGAATGCTCAGTCCAACAAGAGAAAGGTATGATATAGTAGAAGAGATTCAACACATCCACAGGAGCCTAGCAAACCAGGACTGACATATGAGCTTCCTGAAAGGAACTTCGGGGCTTTCGTGAACTGAGAGCAAACACTAAGCTCCGTGGTACACCCAAGGTTGGGCAGTGTGAAGTTTACGATTCCTTAAGGCTTGAACCACAAGAGCTGCCAACCACTCTGAGGTTCAGGCAGAGCAGATAAAGGTTGGCTTCGGCCACTATGGACATAGGCATCACACAGGAGGGTGTGGCCTGCTCCCATTGATTCAGGGGGCTGAGCACTTGACTTCAACAACCGCCCCCCAGCCCTCACCTTATTTTCCGCAGCAACGTGTGGAAGGGCCGGAACAGCTCGGACATATCCTCCGCCTTTCGGTCCAAGTTCAGGGGTCCATCTGCATAGACCACAAGGCCACTGCATTCAAGACACACAAGCCAGTTTGATTAGGCTCTACCGGCCTCTGAGTGAGCCCTGTAATTTCAGCTTCAACATCTGTAAGAAGACTGACAGTCAGCTGGAACCTGGGGCAAGCCCAGAGCAGAGCTTAGCAATAACTTGCTCCTTCACCTCCTATAAACAGAGTTTCAGTAAGTCAAGGAGAAGGTGATGCCAGTTACTATCCAGACTTTGCCATTGAGTTTATTCGCTTGACTCACAGCAGGGACCTAACAACCATGGAGTATATTTCCTCACCTCAATGCTGCAGAGAAATAAGATTGAGATTTATTACTAACATCTACCTCAGTGAAAGCGAAAAACAGGCTCTGTAGAGGCTCAGAGGAATCAGGCCTGAAATTGTCACTTCAAAAGCCAAGCATGAGCTAGAGAAACGAGTTCCTATATCACCCATCAGGGTAGGAAACAGCCTGCTGTCTACCCCAGACAACACCAACCTTTCCCCAGATGCCCCCACCCAAGGCTGGGGCTGTCTTCAATGTCCTTTCCCTGTACTTAGCACCCAGTTCAACACCTGCTGAAAGCCAGCAGCACTCAGGTGCCACATTCGGGCAGCCCCAATCATATTATCTCATTGTCACAGCCACCTCCACTTGACACCATCTGGAAGCCCCAGAGCCACTGCCCAGCTCTGAGAGTGCCTCCACCAGCCAACTCCCAACTCATCTCCTTCAGGATGTTATGCCTGGACCCTTCTCCAGTATCTCCTCTGGTGCCTCTCGGGCCCAGGCGCTCACGTTTGATGTGGCTCAGGAGCCCCCTGACATTTACCTGTGCTTCTGCTTTCTCAGCTGAGCACATAGTAGGGCTATTTGGGCTTTCTGCTTGGAGATCCCTGCTTGTTTCTGCTTGGAGATCCACAGCTGCGACATGGTCTCCTTGCCAGCAGAGCCCCAGCTGCCACCATACCACCCAGAATCCCTGTCAGTTCTTAAGTCTTCTTTAACATACCCAAGTTGGTAAGAAAAAGTGACAAAGGGACTGTTTTCCCCTTAGAAGGCTGGATTCTGTGTGCAAAACAAGAATCAAAAGTCACAGAAGAAAACAGAGTACTGTGCTGCCTCTGGACTCGGTGATCCTGCTAAGTCACACCAAGCAAAAGCAGGTTGGTTTGTGATGGGGGCTATACCCTGGACAAACAAGGCCAAAACTGAGAAAGGGGGAGACAGCGAGACTGTGTGAGACTCTGTGTGTGTGTGTGTGTGTGTGTGTGTGTGTGTGTGTGGTGTGTGAAAGAGGGGGGGGACAGAGACAGAAAGAGAGAAAACTGGCTTACGAGATTGGAGAGTAAGTTCAAACTGCATGGGGCAGGGGGCAAGCAGGCTGGAGACACAGGGATGGGTGGTCACCATAGTCACAGACGGAATTCCTTCTTACTTAGCGAATCTTAGCCTGTTTTCTCCTTGAATTTCAATTGATTCTATGAAGCCCACTGCACTATAGAGGGAAATCTGACAAACTCAAAACTCTATTAATTACATGTTAACTCGTTTTAAAGATGCATTCACAACAACCAGACACACAGAGCCAGCGACAACAGTGTATGATGTGGTAGCCATGAACCACAGCGCTCACTGAAGAGAGCTCCTTCCTGCTCCAAGGCTCCTGCATCCTGGTCTGGGATCCTCTGCCAGCGACAACAGTGTATGATGTGGTGGCCACCTTCCACAGCACTCACTGAAGAGAGCACGCCTTCCTGCTCCAAGGCTCCTGCATCCTGGTCTGGGATCCTCTGGTCACAGTGGAGGGGTTTCTGATCTCTCTTAATTCCATTTCCCTGGCCTTCATGTCTAAGTGGCCAGACCATCATTTTTATTTGTAGTGAGTTTGAAACACACTGTATGAATCCTTTTTTCTTTGTGTTTCTTTTTCGAAGTTTTTTTTTTTCTCTGTAGGCCCATGAAGGCTCCATGAAGGACCTATGAAGGCTCCATAAGAATTTAAAGGCCAGGCAGTGATGGCACACACCTTTAATCCCAGCACTCGGGAGGCAGAGACAGGCGGATCTCTGTGAGTCTGAGGTCAGCCTGGTCTACAGAGTAAGGTCCAGGACAGTCAAGAATACTACACAGAGAAATCCTGTCTCGAAAAAAAGAAAAGAAAAAAAACCAAACAAACAAACAAAGAAAGAATGTACAGAATAGCTGTTCTATTTCAGTCATAAAAGGGCAGAGGGGAGTTGCAGGAATTGCCCTGGACCTGGATGTCACTCTGGAGAGCACTGACATCCTACCAATCCATGAACATGGGCTATTGGTTGTCTTTCTATCTTGGTAGACTTTATTTTTTTTTCCTTCACCATGTTCTGCAGTCTTCAGTAGCCATAAGTTTGACTTCCTTGGCTAAATTCATTCCTAAGTGCTTAATTCTTTTGATTGTTGTTTTTAAAATCTTGTACTTGAGGCTGAGAGTATGGCTCAGTGATATAGCATTTGCCTGGCATGCATAAAGCCAGGATTTGATCCCCAGCACTGAAGAAAAAAACCTTCATGTTTCAAATAACATTTAATCCCATTCAGTGGAATATTAACCCTAAAAAGGAAAGAAATTCTAACGCATTTCAGTGCGCTGAGTGAAATGAACCAGTCATAGGACTAATCCCGTGTGGTTCTACTTACAGACAATTCTGAAAATTCCTGGTATTGTCAGACACAAAGGGAAAGTAGAACAGTGAGTGCTGGGAGGGCTGGGGCTGGTTTAGCATGGAGATGGGCAGTGTTTGACAATACTGAGTGTTCACTCAGGAAGGGTTACAATGGGGCCAGAGAAACAGCTCAGCAGGTAAAGTCACTTGGTGTCAAGCCTGACAACCTGAGCTCAGTCTCTAGGATACACATTGTGGAAGGAGAACTGAATTCCCCAGGCCACGTACAGACCTACACCACATATATACACACACACATACATACACACACACACACACACACACACACTTAATAAAAATCTTTAGCTGGGTGGTAATGGCACAAGCCTTTAATCCCAGTACTTGAGAGGCAGAGGCAGGCAGATCTCTGAGTTCAAGGCCAGCCTGATCTACAGAGTGAGTTCCAGGACAGCCAGAACTGTTACAAAGAGAAACCCTGTCTTGAAAAACAAAAAAAAAATTAAAGAAAGGCTAAAATGGTAAGTTTTATATTATATGTGGTTTACTTTATCACTGTAGTAAAAACACTTGTGTTTCTGTTTACAGAAGAGTTAATAATTTTTACAGAGCACTGGGGCTGTAACTCGGTTGATAGAGCACCTGTCTGGCATGCATGAGGCCCAGGTTCTAACCCCAGCAGTGCAAGCCTATAATCCCACCATGCAGGAGACGGAGACAAGAAGACCAGAAGTTCAGGTCATTGCTTGGATACACAACAAGGATCAGCCTGAGATACCTGAGACCCTTAAAAAAGGCCTGCCTGCTGGTAGTGGTACATGCCTTTAATCCCAGCACTCAGGAGGCAGAGGCAGGTGGAACCCTGTGAGTTTCAGCCTAGCCTGGTTTACAGAGTGAGTTACAGGACATCCAGGGTGACAGACACACAGAGAAACTCCATCTCAAAGAAAAGAAAAAAAATGAAAAAAAAAAAACAAAAAAACCCTACCAAACAAACAGAAAAAGCAGAAAAAGCAATCTTGTAGTGACAGCATTTGGCAATGATCTTGTATCTAACATAGTGAGGATGCTTCCATGACACACTAGTGTTTCCTTCTAAGATTTTGGAGACAGAAGTATCATTTTTAATCAGTGCCTTGGTTTTGGATATTCAGTCCCTCAAATGTTTCATTTAAAAGCAATACTCTCTGGATAATCTGTATAAATATGTATCTTAGCCTATTTATACCACTGCAGGACCAGAAATCCTACAGAATCAGAAAACAGGAGAGAGAGAGAAAGAGAGAGAGAGAATATGCATGCACGCATGTGAGTATATGTGTAAATGTAGGTAGTGGAAGTGGCCACAAAGGAGTCTGGGTGATACAAGTATGCTGACATTAGTGTCAACCAGTACACGAGTCTAGCTGTGGTGAAACTGGGATCTGAATATTTGTGGCTGGGTCAGAAAGTAGGAAGTTGTACTTATGGAATATTAAAAACCAAACAGAGTAAGCATACCCATTATGTGAACCTGGAGGTCCAGGAGAAAGAATTGGGGAGAAGGTGGATGCATGAGGCAAAGGCCAGGCTGGGGCATCCCACGGGTGTGGGAAGGTCTACTGTCCAGGAGGTGGAGCTCTGGCAGGTTATGAACAGGTGCAGTGTTCTTGCTTGAAGATGCCAAGACCACCAGTGCTCTAGGAGGGGAGGAGGTGTCACTACTCACACAAGAGGGCAGGACTGAAGAGTAGGTGGGGCCAAAGGCCAGGCTCACACAGATGGCACTGGCTGGGGGGCGGGTACTAGATCCGGCTACAGGAATGCTGAGGTGTGGACAGACCTTGTGGGGAGAAATGGATGATGCAGAGTTGACCCAGGTGAATCAGGGCATGGGCCTGTGGGATTCTGGGCTGGTAGGCAATAGTGGCCCAGTGGCACAGGCCCATGTTGGCCAACCAGATGTGCCGGCTGGAAAGTGACGTTCAGTCTATAGGTTTGAGGTTCTTTATTCTTTTAAGGAACTGCTTTAAGATAAATACCTTAAATTACATCTGAACATAAAAGGAAGCTGCTCCCCAGACCCAGTCTCTCCTGCACAAGAATGCCAGGACCCCCTGGATGAGGGTAGGCTCCCCAGACCCAGCCTCTCCTGCACAACAATGCCAGGACCCCCGGGATGAACGTAGGGCCAGATACACGGGTACTCAGCAGACAATGCACCTCACGATCCCTCAGACCTACACCTGGTTCTGACGTTAGAGGTTTGCTTCTGACGTTAGAGGTTTGCTTCTGAGGGCCCTGTCATGAGCCAAACTCCATGCTCTGAGTTCCGTGTTCCAGTATCTGCTCTCCTTTCCTATATCCTGCATCTTCTCTGCCTTGTGGAGAGCCCTTCGGTCATCGCAGCTCTTTCCAGACCTTCTTACACCCTGAGCAGAAGGAGCATCCTGTCTACCTCTAGACGCCACCTAGAACAAAACTCACACCCACAGTGGCCTCATTCTACTCCAGGACTAGTGATCTGGGTGGGCTACTGATCCAGTCGCCAGCGGTATGAACACTGACGTCAGCACACAGGACACCCATGATGCTGGTCAGAGAGGAGTTGTCTAACATGTCCAGGCACAGATGAACAAACATGGAAAACAGACTCCAGGATAAAACTGAGTATGGTGGGGTATGCCTGTGATCTGGTACTGATGGTAGAGGCTGGAGAAGCAGAAGTTCAGGGTCACCATTTGCTACATAACGAATTCAAGGCCAGCCGGGGTTATAGGAAACTGTCTTAAACCCCACCCTCACCCTCCAACCAACAAACAACAAGAAAGAAAACAGATTCCAGAGTTAAATCAGGAAACAGTGAGAGCAAGGGCTGTCTGACACCTCTGTTTATTTTAAAACTAGTCTGCTGCCTAAGATGAGCTTCAGGGTGCTCCCAGGGACTTTGGAATAAGTTTTCTCCCAACCACACCTGCACTTAGCCAGGAGAGCAGTGGGCAGGGCAAGGAGGAAAGGCATACCCTAAAATGGCAGCTGGTTCTGCAGAGCTTCCCAGGAAAGCCAGCCCCTGGATGGGTAAGTGCCAGGAACTGTACTACAAAGCACCTACAAGGGTCTGTTAAAACGAGGGACAGGGTTTTTGTGTTGCAGGATCAATTCTCAGAGGCGTCCATTCTCAGGCCATGAAGATAAGGGTCAATATCTAAAAGTCTCAGATCCCAGGCAGTGGTGGTGCACGCCTTTATTCCCAGCACTCAGGAGGCAGAGGCAAGCAGATCTCTGTGAGTTTGAGGCCAGCCTGGTCTAGAGAGTAAGTTCCAGGACAGACTCCAAAGCTACAGAGAAATCCTGTCTTAAAAAACAAAACAAACAAACAAACAAAATACCAAACCAAACAAACAAACAAAAAACTCTCAGACCCACGCTGGTCAGCATAAACAAACAAGATTTAGAGTCCAAAGAGTTTTCTGTTTTATTTTTCAGACAAAGAGATAGGACCAAAAAAGTTCACCATTTCCTCTTACTGAACCACAGAGACACCTGTGAGCCAGCACAGGCCTACAGGCCCGCCCGGGAACAGACACTTCAGCCCACTTTATGTGAGCTGGGGGCAGCTCAACATCCTCAGAAGGAATGACACCCCAGATTCTGCTGATGAAGGGCATTTTAAAGGAGCAGCCCTGGGGTGTGGTGTGGGACTTTGGGTATGTTGAAGAGAAGACAGAGAACTCTGTAAGGAGAGGGGGAGTGTATGAGGAAGGGGACCAGAGGTGCTGGACCATTAGAGGGTTCTGGAAACACCAGCCATTGCTCAAACATCACTATGAAGACATCTAAAATACACAAGCCAGGAGCCTGGCAAGGAGTGTCTGGCTTGGCACCAGCACCCTGCACTACCTGTGCAATGGAGGAAAGTGACCCTGTTTTCGAGAGATCAGAACTGACTGTCCTGAAGCAGCCCTCCAGCCCCAAGTCCCTACCTCCCATGGAAAAGTATCTTTAGCAGGCTGCTGTGTGTCTGTCTTCTAAGTTCCCAAGGTCCCGCTGTGACCTAGATCTGGACCCATCCTGGCCTCTATGCCTCTTCTTCTCCCCACAGGATGCAACATCCACACTCTGGGCCCAGCAATGCTCCTGCATTCCAGGTGGTATTACTGGACCATCCCCCAGACTGCAAACACAGGCAGCCTTCGCCAAGCTCCCCAACCCCATGAACACCCACCCGACAGAAAGATGGAGCACAAAGGGGAAATACGCTCCAACAGTTGGGCTCTGCCTGTGGCCCTGCACTCACAATGTCCAGCAAGTGATAGAGCACATTGTCTCTGAGGGATGTGAGGCCCCAAATCCTGCATGCTTTCTTGATGCCTTGAACCTCACAAGAATCCAAAGGCTGACCTGTGAGTTCCTTATTCTCCCCAGATCTGTTTTATTACCATTCTGGTGGGAAAGGGCCAGAAACTAGTCACTTAAACCAACCTTATTCTCCTTTGGGAGCCAGGGCCCCTTATCCTCCTGTCACTGCCGGGCCTGCCACCCACAGCCCTGCAGGGTTACACTATACCCAAGAGACCCTGCATGGTGTGTGGGTCCGAGTGGCAGGGCTCACTGTCTCAGTCTGTAACAGGAGATCCCACAGCCCCCACCAGGGGAAGCATGAAGTTCTCTAAACACTTGGCTCCTCATCTACCAATGGAGAACAGGGGACCAGATTGGGACTGCTAGGGGTTGACCAGGGCAGAGTCTGCAGGGTGTGAGCACCATCACCAGTAGCCAGGAAGTGGAGGGCACTCACCACACAATGGCCAGCCGAGGAATGGTGAACATGAGGGCAGGTTCGTAGTCGTCGATCATGTCCTGGGTCAGATAGCCGAAATCCAAGGCTCTGGCAGAGTGAAAGGGAGTGAGGGGTATCAGTAGGTAGATTCCACATGTTGGGAGCAGAGCACCCAACCTTCCTAGTAACCCCAGGGGACAGGCAGGTGAGGAGAGCGGCCTGTATTACATCAGTTATGCATGGAAGACAAGGCCGTGCTTTGCTTGGAAAGCCCCAGAAGAGCAGCCAAAGCTCAGTCTTTTTCCTGCCTGCTCCACCTGTCCCAGAAAAGAACGGAAGGGCCAGAAGTGGGTGATATGTGTGAAGATACCCCTCATTCGGTCAGTGTCTGTCATTACCGGTGTTTTGCCTACCCCTGAAGCCAAGACAACTCAAGGGTCAAGCACAAACACGAGGCAGGAATATTCCCCAATCCAGCACTTCTAGAGAATCTAGGTTAGTTCCCGTCCCCCACCGTAAGCAGGTGGCTTTCCCGACATAACACCCCATAAACAGGTGCTGCACCATCAGGACTTCAAAGCAAAATGGATTTTCTGTCACCCTGTTTTCTGGCAATTTGAAACACTTGTGAAAGCATAAACGGCGAATGATCATCCTTTTAAAAATAACAACTTGTGGTGTGATTTAGTCAGTTTCAAAACCAGCACTACTGTCAACACTCTGAGGTGAATCTCAGTCCCAGACTCTATTTGGAGACTCTGACTGAATTGACAGACAAGGCCTGATGGAAGCAGCAAGGATCCCCCCTTCTGACCAGGCCTGCACCCGCAGGGACCCACGGAGGCTGTGAGGAGAGCAGAAGCTGAGGAGGAAAGCGGGAGATGAGGACACAGAGAGGTGAGGGAGGCAGGGGGCGATGGAACTAGGGGATGTGTGTGGGGGGTCTAGACAGCAGCTGCTTACTAAGGGAGAGACTTCTGCTGGCTGGCGGTCACATGACTCCGCTAAAGCACCTGCCCTTTCGATCCAGAGCAGAGGGAACCTGGGGTGCGAGTGAGTGAGGGCGCTGCCTTCTGGGTGCCAGCAGGCATGATGGGTAAGGAAAGCAGCAGGGTGTTGCCTCCCTAACCTGGGTGTCCCTGACAAGACGCCCTCCTAAGCAGCCTGCCCTCACCTCTCCACTGTCTCGCAGAACAGAACGATGACCTCCTGCTGCACGTAGTACTCTCTGGGGGACTTCACAGGCACCATGGCTGAGACATAGCTGCAACATGGAGACCGTCAGACCTTTGCTCCCCAGCTTCCCAGGCCTCCCCAAACAAGAGCATTAAATCAAAACCACAGACCTTGATACCACCACTACCAAATGCCTCTGAGTTCGTGCATGCACAGCTCCAAGCTTGACAGAGATAATTTAAGTCAGAGCTCCTGCTAACCCAGGCTTTATGTGGCCCTTCTTCCTGCCCCCCAGTCCTGCTCCAGTTCAGACTTGACTGCCATGAAACCACCCCATCCACTTAAAGTAAGTGTTCCCATCTGGACCCTAGCTCTGAGGAAGCAATGCATTAGTATATATGAATCCATGAACGGGGAGCAGGTGCCTGGGACAACCACTCCCCCAAAGGGTACAAGGTCAGACCCTGTGTATCTCAGCTGCCCAGGAGTGGCTCCAGATGTACATGGGACTCAGGGTATTTGCTGAGCAGCTGTGGGATGTTTATCTACCTGATCCCAGGTGAGAATGCTTTCAGGTCTTCTAAATTACCAACTTTCTATTTCTTGCTATGAGACACACAAAAAAAAAAAATACTCAATTGTTTGTACCCTGACTTCTGAGAGCATACCTTCTTCTAGAGGCCGCTCATGGTATCCCACACTCAGTCTTTATTAACAGAGGCCACTGAAAGCAAGGATTTTCTGTCTGCAAGCATCACAAAGTTGGTCACAGAGCACAGCAGGCCTCTCCTGAGCCCTGTCCCCCAGGGGTTGTGACTGCCAGAGCCCTGCTGGACTCCATGACCTCTGCTCTCCCTCGTCCCTCGAAGGCTCCCCAGGGGCTAGTCACCCAACTCCTCCTTCATCATTTTCTACATGGAGACATCAAGACGTGCCCCCAAAGAGCCGGTACCCCAAACTCATGAGCAAAAGCCATGGTTCCAAACGTCTAAAGCGCATCCACAGGGCCCTCAAGGTCACCTCAGCTCGAACTCGGCAAACAGAACATCAAAATGCCTCAGCGCTTCTCGCATCTTTTCCGTATAGGTGTTGAGGTCTCGTAGTGCCTGGTCACGGAGAGTGCCCCGCACATCCTCCAGGCTGCGCGTCAGTTCCTTGGCCAGTGGCCGCATAGCCATGCTCTCGAGCTCACGATTCATGATGATGGAGCCGGCTGCCAAGCACTGTGGGCAGGAAAGTATGCTTAAGAACGGCCTGTAGCTCTTAGAAAGAGCATGTCCTCAGGGAACCTGACCCTGTGCACCTCAAGACCTCAGGGCCCAGTGTAAGACGCAATGCAAGGGGAAGATAAACCCAGTAATATGATTCTTACTGCCTCCTGGTGCAGGGTGACTGCTAGGAGCCAAGAGCATCTAGAGGCCACACTCGGGGTTATGTCCTGAAACAAGGCAGCAGCAAGAGTCCAGCCACCCTCCAGGCCATGACCTTTATGGGAAGTCGTAGATGCCTCTTGCACACATACATCTAATGCAAATAGAAACATGACCTCCCCGATACACATAATCATCCACCAAAAAAGTACCCCACTCGCAGTTGGTGAGGAGGCCTCCATGTACCCCAAATCCCCGCATCTGTGAGAGACCCCAGGCTGTGCTCAGAAACATAGGAAGTTTGTCTACTACTCTCAAGGTGGAGACCAAGGAAGGAGTACACACAGCCTCCACTTGGCTTCTTCTGGTATAGAAAAGAAACTCAGTCTACTAGCTGGCTTTCACCAGTTTAGGGCAGAACCAAGCTACCAGCCAATCCTATCGGCATGAATCAGGACAAGAAGCAATTTCCTGTCAGCTGAGGTCACTGATTTCCCAGGTCTATCCTGAAGGGGAGCGTTGAACCGCAGGTGCCAAGCCTATGCAGCAGCCACACTAACGGAGCAGGAGGCAGGTAAGATCCGGGGTTGCATGGGGAGGGGTGTCAGGGAGTCGACGACAGCACAGAGGAATGACAGGTGACAGGCTGCAGTCATAGCCCTAGGGTCCCCAGGGTTTCGAAAACACTGACAAGGGAGATAAGCTGGAGCTTCACTTTGTTGAGGAGTACAGGAAGTTCCCAGCTAGGAGGAACAGTGGTCCTACAACCCCACTGGGGAAGGCACCTTCCTCGTGCTTCAACTGTCTCACTGGAAGATAAGCTATGGTGAGATATGGAGTGAGGTCCTCTGAAGAGTGAGTGCCCCCTTCTGCTGCCATTGCAGTGGGTGGGTGAGAACGCTGCTCATGCTGGTATCTGAGGAGTAGTGACAGGATCCTGGATGCTTGGGGGTCTAAGAAGCTCCTAACCACCAATCACATGAGAAACTTCATCTGCACCGGCAGTGCTGGGGAGGATAGGGGCTTGGCTGTCCAAAGGGCCGGTGGCCAAGGAAATGCAGACCACATCTTCTGTAAGCAAAGGGTGGATAGAACCCCTGGAGGACACCAGGCATCTATGTCTGCAGGTGCTTGTGGGCAAGTTCACAGGGATGTGGCTGAAAAGGGGTGTTCAATGTTAGGACCAGGAATCTCAGCAGCTGCCCACTACCTCAGCCCCGAACCACAATTGGCCAGCCAAGTTGTCATGCCGGATCTCCTCAGGAAACTTGACGCAGAAGTCCCGAGGGGCACGGTCTTGAGGGATACACTCCTCCATGATCTGATTAATGATGTTTAACACATTGTCCTGAAACAGAAAGAAAGACTGCTCACCGGAACTACACACGACTGGCAGCACATCCTGCCTCCCCACAGGAGGCTCAGAGGGAAATGCCTACAACCATTCCCTCCTGGGACAATACCGATGTGTCCCCTAGTGGCCTGTTGCTAGAACACAGCCCTGTGACTTGGCTGAGAAGCAGATTTCATATCACTCTTTGTAACAACTGAACAGTTTTCATAGAAAGAAGACCACTTCCCTTCTGCCTGCCCCCTGCATGCCACGGACCCCCAGGCGCCTCTGCACACCCAGACACGTTCTCTCCCAGGTGCCTCTGCATACCCAGACACGTTCTCTTGGACACCAGGTCAGTGAACTGCTATGAAAACTTGACTCTGGGAACTGGGGAGAAAGCTCGGCAGATCCAATGCTTGCTGTGTAAATATGAGGACCTGAGTTTGGATCCCAGCACCTACTCTTAAAAGAAGCCTACAGCAGCACAGCTGTGACCTCAGCACTGGGGGAGGGGTGGAGCCAGGAAGACCCAGGGGATTTGCTAGATCCAGTTTCAGTGAGAGATCTTACCTCAAAAAATAAGGTGGAGCGCAACTGAGTACTGCTGGCCTCCACACCTGCACACATCACCACATAGGCACACAGTCTCACACACACACACACACACACACACACACGACTTTCAGTGTCCATTTCTGCATCATTATTATTCACAGTACAAGCCTAGGATACCCTTGGTGTGTCCACCTACCTCTAAGCAGTGACATTGCTGAGGGCCACCACGTGAAAGCAGCCCTTCCACTATGTGAAAGTCTCCCCAGAGTGGGGAATGTCAGTTTCTACAACAGAGTTAACATCCAAGTATGAGCAAAAGGGTCCCCCAGCCCCGTGATGACCAGCTGGGGACCCTCGTCCTCGGTTTTCTCACAGGGTCAGGGACACAAATCCGTATCTTAGGACCAGGTAATGGAGTCTGTTGGGCCAGCTCTTTCAGACACTCCTCCTCCTCCAAGCTGGTCTGGGACCAGCAGAAGGACAGCAAAGCTCCTCATACAAAGGCAGCCCCAAGTCCACCCCAATGGCTGTGCAACCTATGGCAGGGCACCGACTTTTCTGATCTTCAGAAACAAAATGGAGACCACAGTTCCATGGCAGCTTGGAGTCTGCATATGTTATAGTTTGTAAGACTTGGGACCTTCCCTACACAGCTGCTTGTTTGTTTTGTTTGACACAAGGTCTCATTTTGTAGCCTGGGCTGGCCAGGAGCTTGTGAGATTCCCACTGGGATTCCAGTTGATAGAGCTGCTTGGGGAAGTTGTGCAACTCAGGGAGCAGAACCTCGCTTGGGGAGCAGGCCACCAGGAATAGGTGTGTTCTCTTCATACATACG